TGAACGGCAACACTGGCCTAAATTTACTAACTTCCTCTGGGAAAGTACCAAATGGTGGTATGAATTCGGAAAATAATGGACTGCAGCCGCCTGCCGCTATTCTGCCCGTTGCAGTTGTAGGACCACCTGGCCCACCGGGTCCACCTGGGCCGCCAGGACCGCGTGGACTTACCGGCGCAACCGGACCCATCGGAAGGCCAGGACTCACGGGGCGCACAGGTCCGCCGGGCCCACCAGGCCCGCCGGGACAGCAGATAAACCACGGTCTCAATCAAAATCCCAATATCTGGTATGCGGGCAATGCGAAACCCCTACTCCCATTGTACCAAAATGATCGAGAATAAGGGAATTAAAATAAGTAGACATACCACTTGCACAGTGCGTTGGAAATTGGAAAAGAATAAAATCGTACTCTGAATATATGAAAAGAAGCTAAAAGAAAAATTTGTTTTCCGTCATACAGTCAATCAATAAAGTTTAGGTACAGAGAGTTTTTTGCAATACAATAAAAATTTTTGTATAAAACATAAAATACAGCGCTAGCAGCAGAAAGTTTCAGCTAACTGATGAATGAGGGCAAATTAGATACGACGATGTAAATTTTAGAGATGTTTTCATATGTAGAATTCATTAGTAGTTGAATTGGATCCAAGTTATCAAAATTCATGCGTCTCTGATTTTTAAGCGCAGTGCAATAGACTAACGGGACGCTGATTTCAGATTGACAGAAAGGGCGCCGGCTTTGGCGACCACCATTTAATAGCTGAACGGTTGTTATGATAGTATGACCAATGCGTAGGCGAATGTACCAATTTCCATATTAACCGGGAACGCCATTTTCTTTAACTGCAGCATAGCTTGTTTGAACATTTTTTGAACCATCTGTATATCGAAACTGGCAGCCAGGCAGTTTAAAAATGTCAGCTATTTCCAAGAAGCGGGCTTTAAACACTGAGCAAGGTGTACTATAAGTCATTAATAAATGAATCCCCCTTTTAATTTTACGGTTAGAGGGAAATGGTTAAAGATATTAAAAATACGTGGCCCAACCTTCCATTTTATAGATCTGCCTTAAAACCACATGAATACCAATCCGATCGAAAGCTTTAACAAAACGAAAAGCAATAACGAAAGCAATAAAACATGATTTCTGCAAGACAACGCGTCAGAAACGAAATGGGCAATATGTAAAAGAGCGTCAAGACTCAAGAGTACTCTGGCCCTTATTGAAGGCAACCTGAATATGAAAGAACAAGTAGTAAGCCTGCTAGCAATAATTTTTTCCAACAATTTACCTGCACATGGAAGCAGTAGTAGTTCATAAGGATATTTGTCAGGCTTTAAAATTGGAATAATAGCACTTGCAGGGGGTAGTAACCAGAATTGAAAATATTGTTATAGAGACTGATGAGGCGGGAAAAAAGAAACGGAGGTAGGTGTTTAATAATAGGGTATGATTTTTATTTTATCAATACCCTCTGACTGTCGATAGAGCAGAATGAAGTTCAAGTAATGATAAATCAGAGTCCAATATGTAACTTAGCTGATGGAGAAAGGAATGGCGGAGGTAGCCATGAAGCAGAAAGAAAAGCATCTTTACAGGAAGAAAAAGCAGCAGGAAAGCTAGAATCGGAGAAGGAATTAGCGAAATTAATTGCAAATGCTAAGACTATTTCCTGAGGAAGAAGAGAAGAAATAGGGGAAGAAGATGAAAAACCAGACAACCTCTTAGTACCAGCCCAAACTTTTCTAGAATTCAAGAATTTTCAAACTTAACCCAATCAGCCAGAAGAAGAACGGAAGAAAAGCAATTTAGTCTATATAACACCAAGAAGCTCTAGCAGAAAGAGAAGGAGAACAGAGGGAAATATCTGAATAGCGACCCACCAATAAGAATAAACAAATTTGAAGCAAGAATAACGTCCTCAATCACGCGACCTCTATGATTAATTGATGCCGATCCCCAAAGGGGGCTCCAAGCATTCAAGTCATCTGCCAGAAAGAAGGGATAAGAACTAGAGGGAATATTTCCAAAATCAATTGCACTAAAAATGAATTTTGTTAGGAGTTTGAATTTCAATAGCTAGGGAAGATATATTCGTTTGAAGTTGAGGAAGGATAATGTAAGGAAAGTTTTTCTTGCCAAGGATAGCAATAGCCTGTGTGCTTGTAATATTCTGAGGAAGATTGAAGAAATGAGCAATATATGCTAAGGGAGCAAAGGCTGTCACATTATAAGCAAGGTGAGTTTCATTTAGTAATAATATTATAGTTAAAAAAACTAAAAACACGCTTTTATTACAACAAGAACTAAAAAGTATAAAATAATTTGTAGATATAGCGATTCCGTTTAAGAAGAAAAGGAAGTTCCCTAACCTGATTTAATTTAACTGTTTTAA